GCTATGCAACTGGCCAACCTGGAGGAATAAAAATTTTAACTGAACTCCTGGTTATCACCAGAGTACAACCACTGCAAAAATTTCACTGAAGTACAGCTACCCAAATTTTCCAAATTGTTCCAGATATCCGTGCAAAGTTTTCAGTACTATAAGCATGTAGATAAGTGCAAAAAGCAGCAAAATTCATCTACTGAGGACCGAAAATAATCTATACATGGATTATCTTTCATTACTTATATTTAAAAGCACAAAGGGCCAGCGTTGATGGAGAGATTCACTTGAACTACTGCCTGAAATTATGTGGATGAGAAAGGCCCAAAAATGAGATGAATAAGAATTTATCAGTTGTATGTACCAACGGCGAGACAGCTGATCGACGTATTATTCAGTAATTAAAAAGAACAATTCGAAAATATAAATCAAAAAAAAAAATAACCTTTACGCCCAGCAGACCTAACACAATATGTAATCTTTGACAAGCCTTCTTCGTCTGGACGAAAACAATTGTATGATCCGGAAAGTTCCGTGTTACAAGTCCTGCAAGAGTCAATTTTTCAAAAAAAAAAAGAGCCATAAAATGTAAAAATTAGCTATTCAAAAAAAAAATTCTATGTATTACGGCTTAAAAACATCAAAAAACCTGGGAAATCCATAACAAATGATCTTGGAAATTCTAAGCTATATAAAAAGAATATTAAACTCAAGATCACTCAAAGATCACACTCAGATACAGTAATTAGCAACTTTGTAACATACCGGCAACAATACTTTCACGATCATTTTCATGATTTTCTCGGATACGCACAAATTCTTGTCGCAGATTCAACGATGTATCGGTATTTTCGTTGATGAACAATTTCACTGGATTCTTTAGTGATACCGCAGCAAGCTCTTCCACCTGAAACAGTTAAACACTAGAATCTCAAGGATTCGTGTATTAGCTGTATTTCATGAAAAAATTATTCATTTTATGAGCCTAGCAATTTTTTCAGTTGCTCTGACCAGTGCTGCATCGCCTGGTAGTCAGACTGCTGCTGATATCAAAAACACTAAAGCATAAAATAAAAAAAAATCTCAAAGATTCCCCAAATCAAAGATTCAAGTGCACTCATTCACACTTTCTGCTCCATGTGGCACGCCCGAAGACCTTTTTGGCTGAAAAAAGAAAAAGAAACTGATCGACAGATCAATCCGTAGATCATCCATCCGACCATCTACGTCGTGCGCTTCCGCGTATTGTTCATACATCTCATTTCAGAAATACTAATAATCAAAAGAAGAATTTATCAGGTTTGCTATTGATCGTTGGCTCAAGTTGATGTAATCATGAGATGGTGATACAGGTAATAGGAGGTTGAACTGCAATATTATCGAACTGTTCAGTGATACCATGGTAACGTTAAAACACTGGGAAGGTAGTTAGTGAAACAAGAAAAAAAAAATTGGCCAACGCACGGGCTGCCCGTGCGAAGATGCGTTTTTTGCAAAGTTCCCCGCA